GGGGGGGGGTTTGTGGCCCCCCCCCCCCCCCCCCACTGGATCCGCCCCAGTAAAATGATGTTGATGATGAATTTAACCTAAAGAAGTGCACACTGTGTACTTACTGTATAACCTTGCATTTATTAGAATCTTGACTCAATGAGGATTGTGGTGATGATAGGTGTAGGCTTCTGTTATACTTTTGTTTCTCAGCAATAAACAAAAAACAACATTGAATTATTAATAATAATGATGACTACTATTAAATTCTACAGTTCATCAGACGATAACTCAGAGTGTACGAGTCCTCCTACAGATGATGTCTTCACTAACGAGTCTTCATCTCTTGAGTCTTGCCCAGAAAGTAGAAGTGCATTCTTATTTCCTTGGAAAGGCAACACCATTTGTCCACTATGATCTTTGATGGCAACGCAAGTGCTATACAGTATTCACCATTAGATACTTTAACACAATAGGACTCAACTCCTTAGCAATGGACATGTAAAGTTTGGTTTCCATAGATTTGCTCACCGACAGTTGCCAGGAAGGTTGAATCTGGTTAAACTTTGCCGATTGTCTTGCAGACGAATCAGGGTGCTTTCCCGATTGCGTCAGGGCAGCTAGCAATGCACCCCGATTAGTTCAACCTCTGTTGACTGTCGCTGATAAGGTGAGCGATTCTATGGAAACCTATGATCACTAATGGAAATGGTATTTTCAAACTATGGTCTTTGAAGGCAGGATTAAACCTGCTTTAAATTGGGTTTATTATCTCTTGCCAAAGTTTGTTGCAAGGTTGTTTTTAAAAGAAAGATTGTAATAAAATCAAATGTTACTGTTATATTTTTAAAAGGAATAATTTTGTCAATCAGTAAAACTACTTCAGTCTGTAAATGTGTACAGTCCTCAGCACTGCTGCCAGAAAAATGTTTTTAAATTAAATTACTAAATTTTATTTAATAGTTTGATATTGTGAATTGTGTGTGAAATAGTAATATTAAAATTCTAATAACTGGTAAGGATTTTAAAATTTTCAAGATAGGTTATATTTTTTTAACTTTATTGTAGTCTACCTGTTCTTAGACTGTTAAATCATTCTTTAGATGTGTAATTTAATGTGCATCAATTACTTTTTGAGCAGATTATTTCAGTAATTCCAACAAATTATTTGCAAATACAGTAATGTGTCTTATCACTACAGTATTTAAATGTAATTTATAGATTTTATAACTTTAGCCAAGGCAAGTGCACAGAAGAATTCGCATCTCCAGACATCAGTACAAAGGTTTTTCTTGTAGCCAGAGATAAGATCAAGAGCTGGAAGATTGTGCTATGTACATCCTGTTAAATTGCCTTGTTTTAACAACTCCAATGCACACCATATTCTGGTTGGAACATTAAATGATTTAATCAAAATATTATTCATTAAGAACTATATTTTATTATAGACGTACTGTAATACAGTAGTTTTTTTTTACTAAGTATAGTACTGTTTTATATTGTCATCAGAAATTGTAATAAATATTGTTAAATGTATGTAGCTGTTTTTGTGAATGTTATATTGTGAAAATGTGATATTATTTATAGATGGAGGAGTACAATATAAACAAAGCTATCAAAGCTTCACATTAATGCTTCAAAATATGTTTAATACATTTACAAAACTTAGACTTAGAGACATTAATATTTCAATGCAACAAAAATAAGATGGCACTCCAGCTTGTAACCCTATTACAGTACTATTAACCAGACTACTACTGTACAAATAAAAAAGAATGCAAGAATGGTGGTATTTATCTGTCCTTTTTCAATTTCATCATCATTATCTCCACATGTTCACAGTGGTCCCTAGTCGCTCAGAAATTCAGACAGATTCCCGTAAGCAAGCAAGATTCTTCTGGAAGATAACCCATCTCCCACAGATTTATAATATTTGCATGTTTTCACTGCTTTATTATCAATTGTCTCATGTAATTATGTGCAGCAAAATGAAATTAGATGGATTAAGAAAGCTTATTTAACCAATGTCCCAGAAGTCCTTTCTTCCAATTTTGGACCTTTGTGTTCAATTTGTTGATTTATGCAAAATACAGTTGAACCTGCCTAAGTTGAATCCAAAATGTCATTGCAAAATTGTTTTAGATAAAATTTGCCTTACAGATTGTTGATTAATGGAAAACACAACAATTTGGCATACCTGCCAACCCTACCGATTTAGGCGGTAGGCTACCGATTTTCTCACTTTTCTACCGCCTACCGAATTACCAGGCTGTTCCGTCTCTTATACACATCTAGATGTGTATAAGAGACAGCTGTAATACAGTAGTTTTTTTTTACTAAGTATAGTACTGTTTTATATTGTCATCAGAAATTGTAATAAATATTGTTAAATGTATGTAGCTGTTTTTGTGAATGTTATATTGTGAAAATGTGATATTATTTATAGTTGGAGGAGTACAATATAAACAAAGCTATCAAAGCTTCACATTAATGCTTCAAAATATGTTTAATACATTTACAAAACTTAGACTTAGAGACATTAATATTTCAATGCAACAAAAATAAGATGGCACTCCAGCTTGTAACCCTATTACAGTACTATTAACCAGACTACTACTGTACAAATAAAAAAGAATGCAAGAATGGTGGTATTTATCTGTCCTTTTTCAATTTCATCATCATTATCTCCACATGTTCACAGTGGTCCCTAGTCGCTCAGAAATTCAGACAGATTCCCGTAAGCAAGCAAGATTCTTCCGAAGATAACCCATCTCCCACAGATTTATAATATTTGCATGTTTTCACTGCTTTATTATCAATTGTCTCATGTAATTATGTGCAGCAAAATGAAATTAGATGGATTAAGAAAGCTTATTTAACCAATGTCCCAGAAGTCCTTTCTTCCAATTTTGGACCTTTGTGTTCAATTTGTTGATTTATGCAAAATACAGTTGAACCTGCCTAAGTTGAATCCAAAATGTCATTGCAAAATTGTTTTAGATAAAATTTGCCTTACAGATTGTTGATTAATGGAAAACACAACAATTTGGCATGTAAAATAAATTCGACTTAGAAGTTATTCGATTTATGCAAAGTTGACAGGAAAGTTTAACTGTATATTCAAATACTCAATCTATTGCATTCTGACAGCCATATCAATTCAATAATGATGCTGAGTTCTCTTTCATTAAAAAAACATTCTTTACATTTGATTTATATCCATAATACATACAAATCTGAAAGGATCTAACATTAAACATATTAACTGAAAGTATATTTTAGTTACATTCACGGTGATACCGATGGGCTGGCTAAGCACCCCAAATTTGATTTAAAATACAATAATCACCAAGAATGTTATCAATAAATATTAATTTTCATATATTTAGAGCTGAATAACAGCAATGCAAATTGTATTTCTAAAGCAAGGTATACAATATGAAATTAAGGTACAGCAGAACATTTTAACAGACACTGAAAAACAAGACTGTTTCAGATATATCTGAAACCAGCATTAAAATCATTTTTTTTGCCAAGTATATAGGAATGAGGATTTAGTACAGTACTTAAAACTTGTCAGGTAGGTCAAACATCATTTCGTATTATTTCTCCCGACGCAAAACGCCATCAAAATAGCATTGCAGTACCGCTGCTACTTGGGGATCAAATTCATCAACTAGCCACCCAATGTAAGCTTGGTGGTCAAGTGGTTAAGACATCAGGCTAGTTACCTGGAGGTTGTTGGTTTGATTCACACCTGAATCACACAGATTTCTTTTGTATACACACAATGAGCACCCAAACATTTGGTGATGTACCATCATCACCCAATAAATATTCAGTAGCATTGTCAATAGCCAATCATTATTCACTGTCCTCTCCATCTAATACAGAATTTGTTTAAATTATTTAGAACAATTAAAATAGAAATCCTGAGTTTAATTTGATGTTGAATTTTAAGCATTGTCTCTTATTTGCTCCTCTGAATGAGTCTGACATACCTTTGGTGGTGGTTTTGCCAGTGTTCTTCCAGACTGATCAATTGTCAGCTAGTCAAAAACAACTCCCATGTTAAAATTGTTTTTTTTCCACTCTTTAGCCCGTGGCTTCTTTAATTTTAATTAACGTCTCCTAGTGAAGGCAACTGACGACAATTAAAAAAACATTCAACTTATCCAATCCTTTAAAAATTGTGAAAATTTGAATAAGAAATGCTCTTTCCTTCTGATGATGACTGTGCTACTGTACATAAACTGTTTAGAGTTTTACCCTTATGATCATATCCATGTACTGTATAAAAGGGTTGTTGACCAGTTTAAAGCAGGTGCTACGAAACAACAGCATTAAACAAAATATTGCATCCAACAAGTTTGTCTCCAACAATTGACATCCACCAACATGATTTATGGGCTCAGTCCAAGGCGTCTTTCTACAGCACACACCTTATTAGCTGCTCTTGATTAAGCTTATTTTACAGGAAATATAAATTTGTGTTTACACCAATGATCACCTTATTGTAAGCTTAATATTGCTTCATATAGAAGAAAAATTAATTTTTATAATATTCAAATGTTACTGGCACAAGTTTATGAATACTTTATTAAGGGCGATCGTTGAAAGGAATGTCCACAGATGTTTTTGTGGTAATTTTTGCTGTTTCTGTGTCTAGTTCACACTGACACGATATCAGGTCAAAGTTGATGCCAACCGGACAGATAATTGGTACGCACTTGCGTATTTGAGAAGTAGGTGTTGTCTTGGATACTAATACTTCTTCACATCTGAAATAATATGAAAGATGACGAGGTAAACCTCTAAAATTAATAAATCAAAAGTAACTCATTGGTAACTGGCTGCACTTATGAGGCCTGTAAAGCCCCATTTACACTAGACACGATTACGACACGAATAATAATCATAATAATTGTAATATAAAAATTGTTGACTGTGCGCACAAGCAATGTAATTTCCTCTTGTTGGATGAAGAATACTTTGACTTTTTGGATTTTAATTTCACCCTTGTTAACAGTTTGTACTCCTTGATAATAATAATAATAATAATAGTGTAGTTTTATGTAGCACCGTATCCATCCAATATAAGATGCTCAGGGTGCTTGATATGTGGATTCAGGAACACGATCAATGATTTTCTTCGCCCCTAAGGGTCCTTTCGTGTCTGTGCTACCCGGTAACCCGGTACCAGCAACTCTTGTCATCCACCAAGGGGCTATCTGTTCCAGTACACCGGGGTATCACCCTACTCGTCTCGAATGATGGGTTCTTTATAGTGCACACGAGCCATTGTATACACAGGGCCTATGGTTTATAGTCCACATCCGAGAAGACTTGTTCTACTACCAGATCCATAGACAAGCGTGCCGTTCGAACCAGTGCCAATACTACGGCTGTATTTTGCGGCACCCCTGCTAACCGGCCATTTGACTCGCTTTGATGGAATGTGAACTAGATATTTAAAACCTCAAAATGGTGAACTATCATAAAAGTAGAATCCAGACAGGTCATGACGTTATTCTTTGGCATATTATAATTATATTATAATCCCGTCTGACTAAGGTATTAAGTAGCTTTACCTTTGGAAATAGAAATCAATGATAAAAGCTATGTTAATATTAGAAACTGCGGGAATATATGGGAAACACCTTGCTGACCCCGAACTGATGCAAAGATCACTATAATCTTTTAGAATTTAAGCCTTTATCCTTTGAATTAAATTTTCAATGAGGCTATTTGCAAAAATATGTATATCATGAAAGAATGAAAATACCCCATAACAAACAATGCAAAAAAAGATTGAATGGATTTGTGCAGTATAGTTTAGTTTTGTAATCTATTTTATTTTATTGCAGTGCACACACATATATTTGACAACTTCATATACTATAGGTATTAAAAAATAATAAAATCATATAAGAATTTATGAATGTCTATCTTCATATTTAGCCTGCATGTAAGTATCTAAAGTTATAATAAATAACACAATGATAAAGAAAGAGAGATACAATGATTGGAGGAAAAAGTAAAATGTAGTCGAACAGGTAGAATACTGTATGTACAAAATGCTGCAACCTTATAAAAACTATAGTTGATGCAATTAAATTTTGCAGCGTGGTTGGCGCAGTTTGGATTCTCTACAATTTGTTCCTCTGGCAAGGCAATTATGATAGATTTGCTTCTTTCGACCAAGGAGTATAAATGGGTACCTAGAAGATGTTGTGGCATTAAATGTAGTTTCATATGTGGTGTAATCCTGCAAAAGTCCCCAGGGACCAGAGAAGGTTGCACTTTGTGCCAGTTTGTCTATGGATTTTATCCAGGGTATTAATGCGTTTATCATCAGTTACTTTGGAATTGCCACCATATAAATTTGTGATATTACTCTTTTTCTTGTTACTGTTATATATTATTATTATTAGAGTGGAGTTGAATAGCTAGAGTGGAGTTGAATAGCTTGGTGGTTAAGATGCTTACCTTCCAATCCCAAGGTCCTAGGTTCAATTCCTGTCAATTTGCAGGATTTTTTCTCAAGACCTAAACAACTGCACTAACTAAACCTCATATTGAGATTTAGTTTGTGTAAACCATCGTGTATGTATGTTTGTCTTGTGCAAGGGATTGTTACCTACTCGTAGGACAGTGCTATGTATGCTATTGACAATCCTTGGTGCCTGTGTTGTTTACCTAAATAATTATTACTATTTGTATATTAAAATGCAATACATAAAATAAGTTCATACTTGCACTTCAGCTCATTGAACACCTTTGGTAGTTGGCAACGTTCCCTGGCATGTTTCTTGCACTCACATTGGCATGACTCTTCATTGAACACCTGTCGCTTTCTACTGCACACCCTAAAAATATCAAAATAAACACATTTTATGAACACAATTAATATATTACAGTATTTGACCTTTTGACTGTACAGTAGGCCCTGCATTTTATGTGATTGCTGCATACTCTCAGTATACTGAAGTTGTAAAATGCGGGCCACGGTCCATTGTCAACTGGTTTCATTCTTGAGGTACATTGTTTGGATGGTCTGCCCATTTTCAAGCATCAAGAATGCTTTAAAAGAATTCAATTTTGATCTGAACTATAGATAGCGAACCTGTCCAAAAGCTTGTCTCATCAAAAAGCTGAACCTTTTTTAAATGTGAGAAAACATTTGCAGAAATGATGTAGAAGCGAGATAATAAAAAAAAAGTTATAAAACATCTTTTAAGAGAAAAATAAGCTTTGATTTCTCAAGGGTTGATTCGTGAGAAAGGAACTGCGGTTAGTATTCTATTGAAGTTGTTGAATGAGTCCCAACCAAATGAATAATGATCAAATTTAAAAGCATATTATCTAGCAATTGAGAAAGCGAACAAAACATATTGTTCCATTTACAGTTGGTACGAGGACTTCCTGTCAATCATGTCTGTATTTTATAAAATATTAAAATTTTCACTCCACCTGTTGAACACAGGCTAGCCAAACATTGTATCAATATATATCATCATAGGTTTGTCAAATACTTGAAAGAAGCAACAGCATTTACAATCAAATAAAGGTGTAAATGACGAATCCTTTGTTTTCACATCCCCGGATATTAGTAAGGCTGTCTCTTATACACATCTAGATGTGTATAAGAGACAGTACATAAACAAAACAACCAATTTAATTTAGATGAAGACAGAGATTACAGGGTGATCAGACAGACCTCAATAATTTTATGTTTTCATCAAGTTAGAGGTCATTAAATATTTTAATTTGTGTCGGAAGTCTGTTCTATGCCTTAGTTGCACAGTATAAGAATAAAAGAGTTTCCACTGTGGCTCATACAAGGCAATAGAACAAACTATTTTTTGCAATTGAATTGGTAAAATATCCTTACCGTTGTTGAGGAGTGGCATTGCATACACAGCTACATGTTTGAGTGTCCCAGTACATGGTGTCTGTACAAGTCTGCTTGCCTCTGATACACTGACAAGAGCACTGTGCATACCGATGGATATTCAAATTGCAATGCTTCTGCTGCACCTTGCACAAGCACTGACAACTGTCATCCTCCTCCATTGTTATAGAATATTCCTCAAATTCTCTCCCACCATCACCGAAATTCGGTAAATATTTCAACACCTATACGCAATACGGAAAGAAAATTTATTTTATTTCCTCATTATGAACTGGTAAAGTACAGTGCTTTTATTCTCCGACGTGTAAGCAACTACTAAGTTTAAGAATTTGAGCTGTATTTAGTCATAGGGAATATCAAGCTGTTTCTAGGATTTGAACCCAGGACTTTGAGATTGAAAGATGATCACCTTAACTGCCAAACAATAACCACCAGAGCAATTAAGAGTATTTCCTAATGTTAATTCATTGTAATAAAAATAATAATTACTATTTTTTTTAATCTACAGCATTAAATGTTTGTTTTTGTAGTATAATAAAATGAATGAATCTTAATGGGGCTTCCAGAAACACTCACTAATCAAGCTGCTGGAATCTACTATTGTCTGCTATATGCATAATCTGCATCAGGCATTAAAAAAAAAGTCAGAGCATACAATAATACTTGAAAATACAAAAATAAATTAAAGATTACTGAAACGTGAGTGATAAGGATTAGAAGATGTAAAGCAAAAGTTGCGGTAAATCTGAAACCACCGGCAAGATTAAACATTGATAGCTTAATCTCGCCTCCAGGAGGATAAAAACCGCTCTGAACTTTAACCTCTAATGTACACAGGCTTTTGAAAAGTAGGAAGGCAGAGATCAATGTCAAGATAAGACAACAAAAGGTTAAGAAGAAAAATTTTGGAACCAATTGAAAGCTGAAGGCAAAAACAATAGTGTGTTAGTCTTACATTAATGACGACCGGTTGTGTCCGTACAGCTGTGCATTCATAGAGGTCGCTGGTACAACACCCGCTGCATTTGCGTAACGTCACACAGGGAGGCCAAAAGAACACGTTGGGGTCGTCACCCTTCGGTACGTCGACTATTTTAACCCTTGGAATACACTTTGGTAATTCAGCAATTGAATGTTCAACTAAAATAAAAAAGGAAAAAAAAACAAATTTGCACTGAAGTAAAACATTTATTTTATGCTAAATGATGTTATTCATGAAATCTATCATCTTAAAATAAAATGGTCAATGGTTGTGCACTTGTATAGCGTATATTACTTGTTGATAATTCAAAAAAAGGTGCATCGCCAAAATAAAATATAACCACATACATTAGTATTTCAAACAACAGTATTAGTAATAAGATGGTATGGCTGAAGACAAAGTATATAAATATCAAGTAAACATTCCAAGGAAGCATGTTTTGAATCCTTTGTTTTCACATCCCCGGATATTAGTAAGGAATGTGTTGTAAATGTGAGGAGCAAAATAAAAGAAAAAGCTGCAATGAGTAGACTTTACTGTTTTAATTATACTGTGTTCAGTTAGAAGAGTAGTCTCTGTAGTTACTTGCATCTTATGATACTATTTTAATTTACAGTAAATTACTAGAATGTTTCCTACTAGTGCTTGGATTCAGATTTTTTTTGGCAAATTTCCAAAATCTGAATTTTGTACAGTAGCTATTTGTACATCGATATATGGAGGATTAAAAATTGCTGATAGTTTCGAGTAAAGGGATTTCTCTTCTGGGTCACATGACTGTCTACTCAACTTGGTGTACTTTGGCTGACATTTCATCTGAAATCTGACATTTCCAAGTCAAAACAAATCTAATTAGAAAACGTCTTTGTTTATATCACATTTTATCCCACAGTCAGACAATATAACTGATACAGAATTCACTCTCATCAGAGTTTTACTATAGTTTTTTAAGATGCTAGATTGCTCACAATAGGGCGAGACAGAAATATGTGTATTTATGTCCATTGAACCCCCTCCTTCCTCCTCCCCCTCCTCCTCTTAAAACAAAATGGCTCAGCAAGATTTGTGTAGAGCAGCATTAAGTCACTACCGTGCATGTTCATACAATATGTCCAATTGTGCACTTCATAAGAAAGTATAATACATACTCCAAGTATTGAAATACACGCCATCGTGCTGGGATTCAATATTTCGACATTAATTATGTCATCATCAGGAAACCATCATGCGCACTTTATCTTATAGCAAAAACCTGATTGCTCATAAGCTTAGATTCATACCCACCAATTAAATATGAGCATTACACTTTTTTCTTTTTTTATATTAAAGAACCAGTAAAATTTTTCCCAGGCTCAGTTTTATTTTTGCTCAAAATGTTCTTATTATGTTCTTCTTTTACATACTTTTCACACATATAATTATTGTACAGCAGTATACACTGTACTGGAATGTAGGTAAAAGTGGCCCTCGGAAAAAGTGGCCTCTGAAAAAGGGCCCCAGAAAAAAATCCCCCAGTAAAAATGATCCCAAGCGACAGGTAGGTACACCTACTCTACTGTATTATACAGGGTACATAGTCTCACCTTCTGCACGTAAGCCACAGATATGATTTTTTGGTTTTTCTAGTTTTTAAAAATAAAAATATCATTTGAAATTTTACCTCAGCCTCAATTTGTTCTAATTTTTTTCTTAATTTTTAAACAATTTCAGCCTCAGTGTTCTTATAAAATGTGTTCTTATAAAAAAAAAGTGTACTGTTCTAGATAGAACTGCTTTGCAAGTGAGCTAAGGTACAGCTTTGAATTTATAGATCAAATGCACAAATCATGTTTTTTTTTTTCCCCCGGCCTGCAACTATGTACTTTAACCAGGAGGCATTACCATGCTAACAATATATAAGAGGTGAGTTCTCTAGGGGATAAATTATTATTGTTTTGTTGATTTCAAGAGAACAGTATTACATTTCACACAGGACACATGGATTCAAACATCCATAACTCAATAGTGACAACCTTACAAAAATGATTGACAGGAAATGCCATTGAACAGACAGACTGACACCCTAAAAATATCAGCTTTAGTGCATAACAGCAGTATGCTAATTCAGTTAATTACACACTTTGTACTAATAGGTGGTTAGTTTTCTGTCACATTAAATCTTGTGTAAATCATATGACACACTTTTGTCAACAGAGATGTGTTAGGCTTTAACTTGACATTTCCAGCTGATGGTGTTACAAAATTAGACTTTTTGCCAAGGTGACTTCATAGATTTAGTTGTAATTATTTTGATAATTGCTACCGTAGGTCTAGTTACTGTGTGAAAATTGACATGGACCTGAATAATGCAGTGAGTTGAGGTTATAGTCAATCAATTTGTGCTTGGGCAATATATTAATGTAGAATGTACACATATTGCCAACGTGACCATGAGCTATGACTGCATAGAGTTCTACAATTTGTCATCACAATCCATAATCATCATTATCTACCATTATCATCACAATCCATCCATTCTATATTCTTTTAATTTTTTGTTAAACAATCTTTATATCGTATATATTTTTGTTATCACAGAATTTCATGTTTAATGACTGTCTGCACCCACATTGTACTAGAAGTGAAAGTAAAAATACTCGTATAGAACAGTCTTGGAGTAATATGCAAGGTAAAACAACTTTCATATGTACTAAGCTTGGTGCACTAAGCTCTGGAATATACTCTCAGATGATATTAAGATAAACTTTAAACCTATGACAGTTTCAAAATTTAAAAATTTATACCAGGTCTGTAAAATCTAAACCAAATACTGCCTTTACCTTATACATTTATTTTTTTTTTTTCCCCATGTAAATGTACTTCTTCATTGTTACTTTTTTATGTTCATTATTTAATTTTTCTTATTTGTTAATACTGAACCACTTTAGAAATCAATGCTTTAGCACTGAAAGTGTCATTCAGTATAAAGAAAGAATAAATAAAATGTTTAAACTGTACCATTTTGAAAATCAGTGTAAATAGTACTGAAAATGCCTACAGTATAAAGAAAGAAAGAACAAATAAAATAAATAATCATCATGATTATCATAATCATCATCAATATCACCACCTTCATTTAGTTTTATTTTTACCATTTTTTTACTATTGCAGTGCAGTATACTCTACATTAGCTCACCTTTCACTTCAGGTTTTAATAAACAGACTTGCCAGAACAATTCTGGATGCAGATATTAGGACACTTGTTGATGACCTTATGAAATCACTAAATTGGCCACGTGTTAATCAGCGATGGGATCACAATATTCTTTTATTGACATTCAAATGTTTAAAAGGCTCTGTTCCTGACTATTTAATTAATTTTTTTATGATTATCACAATATAAGTACAAGAAGTAAATCTAAAAACACTTTGGTCTTGCCAAAATTGCCTAATGAATCTGGTAATCATGATCATCATCATCATCATCATCACCATCTTCATCAACTTCACTGCCATACACAATATTATGGTGAAGCGGGTATCAGGTGACCATGCCTTTTTAAAATTTGGCCTGTGTTTTCCAGCAAAATCAGTTACAGGTTTCAAAAAATTATCGAAGAAATTTTTATATCCTGAGGTATTGTAATTGTACGTAAGTTTATACTGTACACTTCAGCGCTTTGATCATTTTTGGAAAAAGCACTATATAAATGATTTTATTATTATAATATTACCATCATCAAAGCATTATTATAATAACCATTTTACCTGTATTTCTGTAGTAATGAACTACTGGTAACCTGCACAGAGCTATGTTCTTTACTATACAATTTTAAGACATGTTAATATGAAATGATTAAAGCAATATGAAGGAGGAAAGAAATATTTTAAAAAACCAAAAAAAAAACATGATTAATGGGTTCAATAGAACACTTTCGCGAAATTTGAAATGAAAATTTCCAATAACCTTGCAGCTACCACTGGGGGGACTTACAGAGGCCTATGGCACTTTGCGTTACGTGGTTACCAGTGTGCGCGCGACACTCTATTTGACACTAGCTAGCTGCTCAGGCAAAGCTAGGCTGATGGAAGTTCCCCCAGTAAGTTGCGAGACGTTGGCGGCGCTGTTTTAAAATAAACCAGATGAAATGGTCTACAGAGTGAGCAAGAACAATCCCACTAGCACTAAGCAGCTAATACAGCACCAATGAAGCAATGCAACTATTTATAGAAGGTCTCAAAATTCTATTAGCACCTTTAAATACCACATTACTTTTACCATATACCTGTATACTGTAAGTTTATATCAACTATAGAATATGGATTTTGTGATAATGTTGTTAGTTTTAGTTAACCTGCCACCATTGCATGTTTAAATTTATTCAAAATAAGACATTAAGTTTGTGTATCACTCACTTTTAACCGACATTTGTCAAACATAGTCTGCCTTCTGCGGGAGCAGTAATAACCCCTTACCGAAAAGATCAACCAGGAATAATTATATAAAAATTAAAAACTGCAATAAATTACACAACAAAAGCAACCTTTGAATGGAGGAAACCACCACCAGGATGGGGCAAGAGCAAGAATATAAGCAAGAATTGATCTTACCTTGCTTGTTTTCTGGTGGGCTTCTACGGGTAACCCTGGCCCTGCCTCTTAGCCCTAATGCTAAACAAAAGCATGTCTCACGTCAAGTCATGCATTTTACATAATTTATTTAGTTGCACATAATCGAGAACAGTAGATCATCTGTTCATTTAACTTTCTGTTTATGTAAAGCGCAAGGGTTTTTTTTTATGTTGTTACTGTTGGATTAAACTGTACTGTTTTTATTTTGATTTGTATTCAGAGTTAGTTTACCAACTGCTGTTATTACTTTTTTCGATATTTTTAACTTTCATGAAAAAATGCAATCTAAAAACAATAAGGATATCATTAAAATACAATCAACATTTTTATACTGCACCAGAACAAGTAAATTTAGTAGGATAAAGAAAAAAACTATATGGTTTTAACAAAATACAATATAACACAGACACAAACTACAGTCAACAAATACAGAATAAACACCAAAAAATTCCTTGTCTATCTAATTTCCAGTGGGAATATTTACTTCACTCATACTTATTTACTTCAATGACTTCACTCATTCTCTACTTATTTACTTCACTCATACTTTACTTATTTACTTCACCCATACTCTACTTATTTACTTATTCTACTTATTTTTTCTTCACTTACAC